AGCTCATCTGACAAGGCTCTGAAAGTACCGCCCCAAAAGAAATGATCGTTCGATCAGGATGGGGAACTTCGGCTCTCTCGAATAGAGGCGAAAGAATCGCGTACGGTTGGATGAACTTCATTTCCGATAGCGCCCCGACCTATTGGCGATATGAAGCTCCGATGACGAGATGTGTAATCTCGATTGGGACAGGATCAACTCAATCTTCGATTTTGCCATGAGATCTTGAAGTCCAAGCCGACGGCTATGAGCAGATCCATTCGTTTCATCGGATGGATTCCTGCCACGAATAACTATTCCATTTTAGAGCAAACATTCGGATAGGAGTCGGTCCGATATGCAGTCGCAGTTCCGAGGAAACTAGACACCGCCGTTTGCTTATACGCCTAAATCATCCGATGAGCGTTATTTCACCTGAGATAGTCGTCCTCCGAATGATGATTCAATATTCGGAGCGGAGGGGATTTCGGCTGTCGATTTCAGAGTCGAGGATCCTATTTCGTCACGTATTCCCGCAGACATCGGATGCCCAACGAATTCCTCGTGAGCTGAAGCAACGTTTCACTTCTGCGAATTGACCATGGATTTCTTAAAAATCTACAAATCAATGGTTACGGTGACAGGGAAAGAAAGATTCTCGTCACAGACGGTCCACGAGCGCGTGTTTGTAGAGCCTCACCTAGCCAACATTTAGGCTCGTCGACGGACGGCGATACGGAGGCGGAGTTGACTTTGGCCGCTCGTTCAATCGGTGGGAACGAAGCAACGAACGCATGCTCGCCCGCTGGCTGCTTTCGTTTGTTTCAAGCAAGAAGATGAAATGCTCGTTGAACGATGACAGGATATCGTTATCATATCACGAGCTGAAACGACTTCTCCACTTCACCGGCACGGGGTGGAGTGAGTCGTCGCGCCGGATCCGAGTGCCATGTATTCGCCCCCACCTTTTCTTCACACATCTCTTTCGCGATGGCTTCATCTGCCGCGAGTGTTTTAGAGTTAGATTGAGTGGGCGGTTGAAAACCGCCGCCGGTGCTCCTCAGTATCGGGACGGGGGCGAGAAATATTCCTCCTGTTTACTCACTCGCCGAGCCCTGCCCCTCGTGTTTCCACTCGTTTAACGAATAGACCTGCAGTAGCGGATCGGAGCCGGAGGGATTCCGCTCGCCCGAGAGCGTCTTCAATTCTGCATTTCTTCGTTTTCGGTCCGAAGTCGAAAAGCGTGATCTCTGGTCGGCGGCGGAGCCACCAGTGCGGCGCTCCGTCGATCGATTTGGCTTAGGTGAGGCTTCCTTCGCTCGGCGACGTTTAGCCCAGTCGACGATCAGCGATTTAGAGGGAGAAAAAAAAGAAGAACCACCAATAATGGCTCACTCAAGGCCTACTCACTCACGGGCACACTCTCTCACTTGGCTTGAACTCACTCGCTGGCTCTCGTCCGGGCGGTTCGAGAGCTTTTCGGACCACGAACAGAATCTCCCAACCGTTTCGTCAGACGACCGTATCGGCCGACCCCGCCGGGCTCAAAGAAGATGCCAAAACCTGAAAACAGAATCTTAGAAATCGGGTTGTGGCCCGCGTACTGCCGTACACCGTCTTCTCTTTTCCCTAAGTGGCTCCTTGTCGTCGTCGTCGAATTATACTCTGGTCACGTTAGGATTTTGGTAATCGACCGGTTGAGATGACTTGATCTTCGGTACAGAAGACGCTCCCTGAACTTAGCTCTGAAACGTGTTCTTGAAAAGCACAACACGCGTCAGAATTACTGTTTCTGTCCGAAACTTTTCAATGTCAAGAGCGAGCATTGCACGCCGCCTTCGAAGGGAACTCCGCTAGAAAATGTCTAAATTCTTGCGACCGAACGCGTAAACTGATCCGAGCGAGCGTCGTGTAAGTTTACAAAGAGGTTTTATGATGTTTTCGGATGCGGCTTCCTCGCCAGAAACGTCTGAAGTTCCTACGACGTCGACGCAGCGAAAAGTTTCGCAGTTTCCGAGATGAATCGATTCCGTCCGAGCGAGGCCGCAACAATGGGACGATATCGAGGTGACGTCGAAGGATCCTGTGGAACCCGGATGAATTCGATGAGGGTGCTGAAACTCCCATTCTCCTGCAACAATTATTTCCACTCCATGTGGGGACTTTCCGATGCGAGTCAGAAGACGGTCAGTCGGGGATACATTTCGGATAGCAGCGGCTCGTCCAAGACGAGATAATCCATCGTGAAAGCCGAACTCAGAACGCTGCCGCTGTTTGTCATCTTCGGATTTTCAGCCTTACAGATTGTCCGTGGGCTCCGCTCGAAGTCTGGGGAGCCATCCTTTAGCGCTTATGAGAGCTGGTGTCTACGACCAAGCAGTTGATTGCTCAAAATGAGCGGGAGCCGAGATGAAGCTTTTAACAAATCAAATAGAACGTCTCTCATTCCGATGGTAAATAACATCCGACCGTTTACGGCGAACACGTTGGTCGTAGGCGAAGTCGTCGAAGACATTTCATGGCGCCAGCTAGCCAGCTACCAACTCGAATAAGCCGTAATCAAGACTCTTCTCCGAGAGGTCATTCTGGATTCCCCCCATCGATTTGTAGACGATAACTCGCTGACGGGCTATGTCACAGCCTCCGCTGCGTAAAACGCATGAAACGGAGCCAGAACGCCTTCGGATTCGAGGATTTAGCCTCATCCCGCCGCACCGACGTGTTTCCTGGCCTGGCGGGTGTGGATTCCAAGCAGAAAGGTTGCGATGATGATCTAGATCTAGATAGACAAAAGTCCCGAAACTTCTTCTCCCGAATGATATACTGTGCTCGGGACGCATTTACGTTTAGTCAGGTAGAGAAGTCCATCAAATTTTAGATAATGGAGTGCAGGGACGATCATAGAATACGATCTTGACGAGCTATGTCATCAGGATTGGGAGCGAACGCAGCTCCGACGGACGAAGTTTTTTTAAAGTACTTTAAAATCAGATCAGTATCAGTAAGAATAATCCTCCGCTTGACTCCCAGGTTTCTTCACCCCATCCGTTTTATCCTGCGGTAAATTCTGCGGCGACAACGGCTTGTTGTCGGCGGCCGGCCTTTCACTTCATCAAAATCGTCCCTGTATGTCGTAATGTTATCTGGCTATCGCGTCTGTCGAAAATGAGTCGCGTTTAGTACCCGCGCTCTATTCGACGGTCTCTCAATTCGACGGCCGGTCAGTCGGTCTGGCTGGCTGGCTGGCTCTCTGACCGACCGTCCGTCTCTCGCTCGGCCCGTCCGCGCGTCTGTCGATATCTGTCGGTGGGTCTGTTTATTTGGTTTGAGGGATTCCTCTCCCCTTGCCGTGGGTCTGCGAGTCGTCTCGCAGTGATTCTCGCGTCGGTCGCTTACGTATTATTAGCTCTACCTTGAGGCGACAGCACCAAATAGGAGAATAATAATAATTGTTCTATAAATGTCGAGAATTACGGGCAAAAAATCGAAGCTGCCGCCGTCACTAGCACCAAGAGGATAATGAGATGGGAGCCGATGACAGAGAGCCATTTAGCAGTCTCAGCCGGAGCCGCTCAGCTGCCGATCGAAGAAGAGTCTGGCGGCGCGGAAGGCCCTCCAGCGAACAGGTAGATATTCCGCTTGATTTGTTAGTCCCTTCGAGGATCAATCGAAAGTCCCGTCTTTCAGTCGAGCTCTCTTGCTGTACGGGAATCATAGGGAGAGTAATGGAAATCATTCATCGGATGCCTGAAGAGTTATGAGTTCGTCTGTCGACTCCTATGCAGACTCATACATCGATCTGAAACGCCGGAGGAAGCGCTTCTGTTTCAGTCAATCGAATCGTGTTTCGGAAGCGTCGCGTAGGTTCGCTACATGCCTCTCCGCCGAGTCTCAGAAGGGCATCAGGGGAGCGACCGGAGTCTAGGTTCCGCGGTCAGAAAGGATACATTTATTCGGAGGGAAGTGTGGTTGCGGAGAAATTCAGTTTTGCTCGAATTAAGAACATCGTTGCAGCTCCGAGTCCCTCCCGGATATCGGTTCATGGGAAGCTAAGGAAATAGAAGGACATCATTAGCCATCTCCCGAGCCTTTGCAGACATACATGTCCCTCGCATCAGTAAGAACTCTTCGTCGCTGCGATTACCACTAAGAATTCGGAAGCCAGATAGGAGAAGGATTTTCAGGAAGTCCACCCGATTTCATTCTGTATCTCATATCCGCTTTCTCCAAGTCCTTTCACCGGGTCGCTTCTCTCTTTTGTTGGGAGCTGCTGACCCCTCATCAACGTCAGGCTCATGACGATGTGATTAAGTGGAAGAATCACGAACAATAATCTCTCTCTCTCTGATGTAAACACTCGGAGATTACGGACCATGACGAATCGCTGAGTTCTCCGGAGAACGCTGCCGAGGCGTTTCGAGTGACTACAGAATTAAAAACACGGCCGCTCTCCGGGATCCGCTGAGCAAGAAGTCATGTAGAGTTTACAATGGAAACCAGATACACTCACAGGGTAATGACGTTCCGCCGAGAAATAATGATCTCCGAGGAACTAAACAGCGATTGTCTGGAAAGCATACGTGACTCGTCCTGGGAAGCTTCTCGAATCGTTCCTGTGCTCCTGCTCAGGATTCCAACTCGAGCAGAAATAACCTTCACGGGACAGTAATCTCGGGACCGCAATGACTTTTGCTTACGTTCAGATTAGAGGATGTCTCCAAACTTGTTGTAGATAAATGACATGATCTGAATCGGCAAGCTCCTGGAGGCTTCGCTGCACTTATCGCGGTTGAGTGTAAGACAACAAACATCGCTTCAGCGCTGGCGGCGCGGCGTTATAGCTTTGCTCAACTTTTTTGCTCAAGCTTTTTTTCGATCGAGAATTCAGTGAGGAACGAAAGGAAAACGCCGTGCTTCGTAGAAAAACATTAGTTTATATTTCGGCGTTGGAGATAACCGTTGAGGGGAACGGCTTCGAAGTAGAAAAATCTACACTGTCGCTGCTGATGTCGCGTGGGTGTTCATTTTCTGTTTCTGATATCCATCTTCCGCTTCTTCTGGCGACTCTGATGTATAGCTAGATTAAAAGGCTGAAAACGAGGAGTTCAAACAACCATTAAGCATTCTCCAGAGTCTGTCTTGTTGGATTTTCGCAGTCAAACTTATCGCAAACGAGCTGAAACAGGGCGCCTTCTTCCCAACAGTGAAAACCCTTGCTTTACCTTGACCGTCAAAGTCAGAGAGGCTGACAGTGGCATTGGGACCACAGCGTTGGAGGCGTCACATCTGAGTACGAAGCCGTCATCCTGGTCAGACACCATGATACTGTAAGTCGCCATAGCCTCATGATCGTCCTGTCGATACCTCGAGCGAACGGGCGTGTCGTTCTTGAACCAATCTAAACGAGCCGGGGGGTTGCCTCCTCTAGAGATGCAAACCAGGGTCAGGGAATCTCCTGACATGAGTTCTCGTTCGGGATAGCCCTGGATTTCCGGGGCGTTCGGGGCATCTGAAAGCGTAGGAATCAGCCTTCAATCCCTTTTTGCCGGAGATTCAAGTGAGGAGTTTTTCCGCCGTTGGTGGCTCGGCCCCCAAATGAAAGCAAGTCACTCACAGAGGACATTCAGAACAACACTGGAACGCAATGGGGCTTTGAGAGCCGGATGTTGTGCTTCGCAGGTGAAGACGGCCCTCGCATCATCGAGTCTGGGGTAGATTTCCACCTTGGTGAAGACAGAGCTGAGCTCGCGTTCACCGTTCGTATCGATGCGCTTCTGCACTTTATCTGTTGGAATTAGAGAATGAATTCGAACGTACAAGTTCCAGCAAGTTGATTCCCAATCGTTCGGGGCTTGAAGGGAAATATACTGTCGAAGCATCGCAGTCTTGATGTATTCCGACCTAAGATTTTGCTCTACTTGTGGGCCAGCTGGAGGCGAGTGAATTCCACCGAACTTTCGCTCAATCTACCTAGGTAATTCCCCTTCCTCTGTTTTCCTTTATGGTATTTTCGTCTATCTCCTTTGATCCGAGAGATGTGCAGTGAAATCATTCCCTCGATAAGAGAGACCACGCACAGCTGCAGTGTACTGACTCGACCATTTCACCAGAGCATTCCATCTTGTCGGAGGCTACAAGCTTCTACTTCGCTAGAACCGACGCTAAAGCGGCCCATTAGGGTTCTGTTCTCGGTCGCTTAAAGCAAAACGTTCTGATTGATGGAGAAATTCGCTCTGAACACAAGCTAAGATGCTGCAGCTAATCCCATGTGGGTGGCGACAACATTCGACGCTTTCAATGCTATCGATTCGGGATCGATCTTTCGGTGCTGCGTATCTCGACCGCAGTTCAAGAGCGAAATCGAAGATGGGTAGGAACCAGCGTGAGCAATAAGTCTCGCGGAGCCGTCGCCGGCGGGTGGTCTCGTGCTCAGCGCGTCTCGCTCATCTAGCGCAAGTGTTCGATTTGTGACTCTCCTGCGATGGAATAGACTGTGCGCCCGCATAATCACAGGAACCCTCGAATGACGTGATAACGATCTCGAGCGAGCTCGGTCGTACCTTCACTAACCTTTTTCCAAGGGTTGATTGTTTCGGAACCAACGTATGCTCGCAGGAGGTTTAGTATCTCTCACCCAGCAGCTCATAGACAGCTGATCTCCTTCAACAGCGTCCAGCGTGCCGCTGTCGTTTCCTTTGTGCCGGAGCTCGATTTGTTTCGGCGGAACTGCAACCAGGTTTTCATGATATTGTATGACATACGCTCCATGGCCAGAGAGCTGAGAGGGAAAAGAGGAGTCCCACGACGCGAGGAGAAGCTCAAGCCTCGAGGTCATTTTACTTAAATCTCTTGAGCAAGGAGAGGAGTCCCGACCCCGGAAGTCGAGTCGCGTCGAGCATGCGTTCTAGGTGTTTCGCGCCTCGAACTGCTGATGAGGAGAATAGAACACGAATCGCGACGATGAGCCCGGATTCTCAAGCGGCATGTCCCTCTACATCACTGTCAAACTTACCCAATACGGTGACGTAGGCCGCCGACCAAATCGCTCGATGATCCGGAACTGGCCCCACCTGAACCATGAAAAACCTGAACGTGTCAGAAATCACAAAGAAACTTCGAAATCCTCTCGGGCCTGATTCCAGGCTTTAATCCGCTGACTCTCGTCGAGCCATGAATGTCGATGCAGACCCCAAAGGGAAAATTTCAACTGTCCATGTTCTACTCCTAATTTTCAATTTCGGCTTCATACACCGGTGGGAAATCCCTCTGAGCGACGAAGATGCACTGACCTGACATTGATATTCCGCCTCATCGTCCAACGTAACTTTATTCAACTTCAGGTTGTAGATACCCCGGGGCTCGTCCACTATCATTTGATAGCGTGGGAAACCGGGAATGTCAGCTTCGTAACCTTTGAGAATAATACGAAAATCAGACAGGGATCGTCTCCCCAAGGCATCCGTTGAGGGAATCATCATCGAATTACGGTGAGACTTCCGACGAAAAACCCTCAAGGTTGCTCTTGGCCAAAAAGTGAACGTTCCCAGAGACACAGTACTCTTGGGCGCGAGCGCTGTCTCCAAGGGATCGTTGATAAGACGAATTGCTTGTCCAATTCACGTCCGCCACGAAAGCTCTTCGCCCCCAAAGAACATAAGCAATCATTCTCTTCGGTAACTCTAGCTCCATCATCTGCTTAATCGGAGATTATTGTGTAGCGGACTAACGAGAACTTTGCTCAACACCATCAATCACTGAACAAATTCCCATCAGAGGAGTTGCTCAGTTTTAACTCGCATCGGAAAGCTCATTTCGAATACTCCTCACAATCAGACCCTGTACTTTTCCCAGAAAGTTGTGAACAAGGTCGGGCTGAACTCCCGATCGGGGCGATGGGCGTTGCTGTACGCGGTTCTCGTATGCCATAATTTAATGAACGATTCACTCACTCACCTAAAACAAAGCCATCTTTGCTCCATTGTACTTGACCTCCTAAATTTCCTATTTGACATTGAAGTTCTGTGGTTTGTCCTTCGATTAGCTGCACGCTCTGAGGCCGCGTTTTGAAATGTTGTTGTTCCAAGTTTTCTTCTTCGCTGCTCCCTGCGGAGTATTGGAGGTCTTCAGTATCACAATCCGTTCTTTTCTGCTACGAGCATGGAGTAGGAACGACCTTTGCCGACTGACGATGGTCTCTCTTTCATTCCCATGGATCTACTTTCTCCCAGGTGACCTAACGGTCCCGAGAGACGAATGATGGACAGTGGAAAACTGCATGCTTCTCGACACCGGTAAGAACTGGTACGAATCGAGGAACGACGCAACTCCGCTCCGAAACTCATCAATGAATCAGGCTCACAACGCCCGTTTGGTTGGGACACCTCTTTCTCGAGGTCCTGCGAGACCCATCCGAAATAAACATCCAATCCTCACCAAAGCTAATCGGAAATAATAGCATGAGCGAATAGAAGTCGAGCCGCATCTCGGAGCTCCTCTTGATTCCCGGGACTTTTTCCTTAGATTCCACAGGAGGTCGCTCTTTCGAGGGAAATCGGGGAGCCCATCTTCGCTGAAGTTTCGCGTCCCTTCAAACTGCACTCGGAACGTTCCATTCGAAGAGTTTGTTTCTGCTCGGCGTCGCAGCTGCCGCAGATGTTGCAAAGAACTGAGTAAATGTAAACACAGAAGATGGCGACTGATTTTTGCCCCTTCCACGGATGGCGCCACCTGTAAGTTGCCTTCGAGACTCACAAAGTGTGGGGGAAATCGTATTCCGGCGTGGGTTTGCAAGTTCAGTGAACGCTCTCAATCCTGACGCAGCTTCTCCAAGACCAGGAAAAGTCACAAAAAACTCCTAGGAGCGAAACCGACGTCGCTCATCCTATATTCTATTATCGCAAGAGCCAACATCCTTTGATGGGGAGAAACATTCGCTGTCTGGCGGCCGACTTCCTCTCGATTCCGCTACGTTTCCATTTCGGGATAGATCACATATGTATGAGAAGCCTCCGTGGCGAATGCATACGTCGGTCTATTCACCTCGCCCCGCTCCGCCTAGCTCCTTCGAACGCCTTTCATATCTTCGCCTTCGGCGTCGACGTTGCGAGAGAGCTACCGGGACCTTGTTGCTGAGTCGCTGACTGAGTAATTGACGATAAGGAATGAGTTACTCGAAACTTTGGGAGCAGGTGAGCCTCCATGAGAGAGAGACTGAGTAGCCGACTGATACGTCCGATAGATCGGAGGCTCCATCGATCACAATAGGGGAGACTCGCTGTAATGGAGGAAATGAAGTCTCCGTTCCTTCCAGTCGCTAATTCTATACAGGGTTAGAAGCCGATTTTCCGTCAATCAGAGGACCAGGTCATCAATCTCAGGCGTCCGCAGGTACCGTTCGCCGTCGGGGCGGCATTCCCGGCACGTTTCGTCGACGTAAGGCAGGGTATCCGTTTCGCTTGTTCTTCTCGTAGAACATCCGAGCTCCTAAGGTTCATACTCTGTGGTGGTAGTAGTTGATGTTCGCGCTTCGTTGACTCTCGACCCCTGACCCCACGTTGAGCGGGCTCCTCGCCTGAAAAGCTTCTCCTTAGTGTTAACTAATTCTCGAGGCCTCTCCGTGGATAGTGATAGTGGTAGAATGAAATAATGGATCGCTCTTATGGTCAATGAGCGGGCAATGACCGAAAGCCTCGCTCGCCGCGCGGGCAAACGAAACCGCCAAATCTAGTTGCTAACACTTCATTGGCGCCTCGCTGACTCGGATGGATACGGTAAGCTACGGCGGCTTGCGAGGCAAACATCCTTGTACTCGAACAGGAACGCCCTCAGTATCGTGCCCACGCACAGACGAGGGCCGCTGCGAAAAATCCTTGAATTCTCCTCTAGACGGGAGAACCTCATCGTATGTTATAGATTCGCACTCCATGACGGCTGACTCGGTCCTGCTACGTTTCCCGCCGCTACGCTTCAGGCGTGAATATTCGCCGAATTTTCCACAAAGCTCAATGATCGAAGCCGAAGGCTCGTCGTTGCGTGATTCCGACAGGAATCCGACACCGGAATGGATGCGACATCCTTCAGAGGAGAAACGATTTCATGGATGTTGGCTTCATTCATCCTCCATCTTTTCCCAGTGGCGTTGTCATCTGTCGGAGAGCAGTCAATGCTAATGTAGACGATGTCTGATGCGTCGTGTGGTTCCACCGATTTTGCGGTTCAGTCATCCAGAGCCCAGCAGGATAAGATGAGAGTTTGCGAGGATCTGATTTTCTGAGGGTCGAAACGAAAATGATCCTGAGGTTTCGAAGCTTTTCCTCTCGACTGAATCCCTGGATCCTACGACGGCGGAACCTCGTCAAGTCGCAGGTACCGTTCTTCCCATTGACTCGAATCAGCGAGCAATTTCGGCTCGTCTTTAGAAATAGACTCGCTCAGTCGGAGCGTTCCGCCAAGATTACAACTCATTGTACATAAAGCGGTATTCCTCTGTCTTCTTCTTTTGCCCCCTCCGATGCTGTCTCGGATTTCGCGCACAGTGTTGCCGCCTGTACTGATATTGGAGCTCGAGGCGACACCTGTCAAACGGGTCGTCGACGGCAGCAGAACGAGTGGGCGACTCGCTTCGGAGCCTTGATGCCAAACTCTTCGACAAAGAACACTGTTGAGAGCATTGATTGAGCAAAAAGTCCGCTGGCAAGGCGGCAACGGCGGCGCGCTAAGCGATTGCGACCACAAGTGTGTACCCCCCCTGTCAGAGCACTCACTCAGCAGAGGTCTCTGAGTTTGTGCCGCGGTAATCGATTCGCCCGCTCTGATCGCCCAGAATGAGAGCGACAGATATCGACTCTGATAGCGAGAGCGAGCCATGAGGCACGAAAATCATTCCTATTCCTGATCGGATTCAATGACATCCGAGACGGGAGGAAAAAGCGCACGGGATTGAGAAGTGTGGATCTGCGGTATCTGGAAACAATATCTCGTGTTGCTCCCTTCAGCCTGAAACGTGACGAGCATTAATAATTTCACCTGTGAGGTACGTACTGTTTTTCATAGAAAGAGATGAATTGAGTGAGTGAGGTGCTCAGAAGCCACGCTGTTCCGCAAGAAAAAAAAGTCGCCCACTGCGCGACAGGCTCTGAAAGGTGCCTCTTCTTCTGAGTGAGCGCCGTGCAAATCGTCATGAGTTACGACACCAAGGGCTGCCCTCCCGAGTGGCAAGCGGTTACGGTTATGCTGCGCACCGTTGTAGTGGCGGCTAGGACTTCTCTCTCTCTCTCTCCGTCCACAGAGAGGTGCTATGATCAATGACTCGGCCCGGCGGAGCCTCAGTCAGCCGAAAAAAAAAGACACAGAGAGGTCTCGTGAAGCGCGTGCCACGATGTCTGTTTGCTTCTCCCGTGCGTCGACTATCCGTTCACGGCTCTTCTGCGGGTGACATTTTTCGAATATCTCTCGAGGAAGAAACAACGCAAGATTCTGTGCCAGATTTTGGTTCTGGCGAATTCGATTCGATCGGAATGCACGTCCGTGTCGCCATTGATTAGGGATCGCGAGACGAGCTCAGCTCCGGGAATTTACCGATCTCTGCTGCACTCGGCTAATATCAGAGAGACACCTAGATTTGACTTTTGGGATGTGGTCGCCGTTCTGAGTAGGATCTACACAAACAACGGAAGCAGAAAACCGAGACCACGGCGCCCTTTGCACCTTCTCGCGGCCTTCATGGTTTTCGCCGAAGCGGACGGAGCGGCATCTCCTCTACGGAGGAAGCACTCGGTACTCATTCGATCGCGCATTGAAGTCCGAATCATTGGATGAATGAGTTGCCCAGCTACACGAGGAATACATACATACATACAGTTTTCGGATCATTCAACCAGAAATTTCTGTATGTGTACATAGTTCCCGAAGGTTCATAACAGCCTCAAAATGCTTCGAGATCACAGCTCGGGGAACCCCGACAACGGGTGAACGGAGGGCCCGCAACCTCCGTCTGGATTCCTGTGGTCGAGCTATCGAAAGGCAACTTGTTAAGGCGAATCTCTCGACTCTGCCAGAGGCAAAGGATAGTGGACGAAATAAGAGGGACTGTCACAAGGCACTTCGGTCACTCGCTCGTCTGTCCAAGTCAGTAGAGCAACTGCAAACGACATGAACCGGGGTGAGCGGAGGCGAGTTTGAGCGACTGATGCCGATCCGTCAAATGCATCCGTGACCCGTCTTTGATATATGTACATACATAGATATACACTTTGCGATAACAGTTCTCCATGTGGGGGGGGGGAAGAAAGGAGTTCGCGTCACAAACCATCATTAGCTGCTCATGGGGCTTGTCTGCCAGAGAGCCCCTTGCGAGGAAGTCGTCGAATGAGTCGATGGCGTCGCGGGGAGGATTGAAAGATGAAGCGTTGTAAACTAAGAGGGCTATGTCAACTCGTTCGAGTGCATCGCAGCCGTGAGCCTGGAACATTCCTCCAAGGCGGAGCACATGAATCGCGACTCGTGATCATTGCAGCGAAACTCTATGGATCTTCCCAGCAGACATTCATGGACGTGATCGCAACTGAGCGAAATTCCCTCTGGTTCCCTCAACTGCTAGTTCGACGTGAGATTCGGTAAGCTGGCTCGATGCTCGAATTATTTGCCATGTCCACGACCATTCGGGAGCGAGACCTGAGCGGACGTCCTATGAGTTGTCAAGCTAATCTTATGCATTTCCATGTGACGGAGAGACAGGCGGACTGGCTGAGAGGGCGCAAAAAAGACTATGTACGAATAGTGCAGTGCATCGCCAAAAGTTTCATCGTGAATATTTTCGTAATGGAGGATAGTTGGACAGCCGCGGAAGAGGCTCGGGATTATATTCGCTAATGGAACCAGCAAGCAACATCCATTGAAATGTAAGAACCAGGCTGCTTCCCTCCCGGCCGTCTCGTACCGTAGAGTACTCCGGTGCTCATCGGACGATAATTTTCTCCTCGTCGAGACTCCGTCAAGGCCCCCTATCGGAAAATATCGTCGGTGTCGAAGCTCCTGATTCTCTGAATCCGACCCGGGGAACTCCTTCCGCGAATACTTTCCTGGTTCAGAGGACGGGGAAACAGACGGCCGCGGACCGAGCGTCAGGCAATCGATTGAGGCTCCCTTCTCCCGGTGGTGCTGGGCATCCGGTTATTCCTCTGACGGATCCAGGTCGAATTCGATAATTGGCGCAAAGACGATGCCGGAACCGACGACAACACCTGCGGCTATAGTCGTTCCCTAGCGCAAGCGTCAACCGAGTTCAATAACCAGCCGGTTGCGGAGCTACCGCCAGAAAAAAAAACGAAGAAACAGAAAATAGAATGAATGGTGGTGAAGCTGGCGGTGGCGTCGCCGCCGCCGTCGATGGTGCCGATTCCGCGTCGGGCAGCCAGCTCCGAGCAGCGATCGACTGCTGAAGAGAGAAGCAAGGAACAGCCGCGGCTTCTCTTCTCGCGTTGGCCGCCAGGTGGCTCTCGCGTCGTCGTGAGCACTGATCACGTGACCTGTTCACGAGCGAGTGAAAATTTTGGCGCGAATTCCCCGTCAGAATAGTTGAGCCTGTCGAGGGGAGTGCGTCGCTGTGTTTTTCTGTGTTGATACCTAGCGCAGTGGTGTAGCGGCGAAAGCAGCAGCACATCAGCTTGCAGTGAGCCCTCTGGATAAAAGACTCATTTTTCAAGTGGTTCGTCGACAAAGCTCTCGACCGAACGAAAAACTTCAGTGCTCATTCTTATCCATGGTAAGTTCGCACTCCTCCGTGGGCTTAGTGCCGACGATCGTGGGTTGGTGACAGGGGATCGCGAGAGGGCGCCGACCGGCCGGCCGGTGCTCACCACTGACAAGTGTACGGATCAGGAGCCGGTGTCTTGCGGACCGCACATCGAGCTCCGTCTGCCCCATTCGGTTACTTGTTCTTCAGTTGCATTTGTCATGGAATAGCAAGCCGGATATTTTAGACATCCTCTGCGTACGGAACATGGGTCTCGAAAAAATGTAAGATGTGGGGAACTCTTGTGCTGACGGCAGGATACGGGTGCCACACGGCCTTCCATTCGGTGGAGATTCATAGGAAAAGTGCTCGGAGAACCCAGAAACACTTCCACAATCACGAAAACCTTTGGGGAGTAAGCCCATCGGTGAGACACGAAATTCGATATTTCGACACACGACATGGCGCACATGGGGAGGAACAGATGCCGCTCGCAGATGCGTCTTGAGTCGTCCGTCTGTGGGTCTGTCTACATACCTGTGGGTTCGTGCGTCGCGTCTCTTTTCTGCTTGCGCGTCGTGTATGTGCTCCAACAGCATACGGCCATCTGATGATCTTCGCGTGCTGCTGTCGCATCTACTCAACCTGAAGGTCCCGCTCGCTGGGCGTCACACTCGTCTCCGACTCGAGCTCTGATTTTTCTGCCCGAAGTCTCAACAGTTTTCCGACTCTTTTTCTTCTCGTTTCCGCTGAATCTCAATCAGGTCATAGACGCTCGAAACGTTAGGTAATTGAGAGATGGCGTCAGAGATTCCACAGACGTTGCCATCGAAAACTCCGGGACGTGTCCGATATCGATCCTCTTCTTGCTCCTGAAGTCGAGTAGGAGACGCACCGCTCGAGCGCCCGTTGTCCCCGATGCGGTTTCTGTCGTAGGCTGCGGTTTCTGCGGCTTTTAACCGGCACATGTAAAATTAGGTTTATGCATTCCTCTCGGAACGAGGCTGTCGAGAAGATGCGGTGCTTGTTGTCATTCTCTGACGTGGACAAGCATGACATGATAATCTCCGAAACCCGAGACTCCCTGGCACGCGAGTGGCTCGGGCCGGGTCGCCCTCATCCTCGGATACCGCAAGAGAGCGGAACTTCGGAACGTCGTTGTCGGTGCCGTTGTTGTTGGTGGCGTCGCTGTCGGCGCTGCCAACGTCTCTGATCAACCACAGCTGGCAATAGCTTGCTTTTCTTCAAACGCGCGAGGTCAAGTAGGGGTCGGAACCCACTTTTGAATTTCCGAACACTTGTTGCGGCTAATGCCGGTGTGGAACTCCTTTTTATTTTCCTTCTTCTTATTCGTCTTCTCGTACACAGTCCTAACGGCGATGGCGGCGGCGGCTGCTTTCATGCGGCGGTGACGAAGAACTGCCGCATCGTCTGCCACAGGCATTTCAAACCACTGCTCGGGGAAAAGGATTCCCATTTCTACTTGTCCAAGTTTTTGACATTAACTGCGGGCTGTACATAACGGGAGCGGCAGCGTCTGCGCTGTCTCCGCCGCGAATATATCTTGTTTTTGAAGTGCCGGGAACGGAGGAAAAACCGTACTGAAGTCGACAAAGACTCAAACTGACACCGTGAGGAGGGCGGAATCTCGAGACGTATGTTCTATGTTCTCTGTAGAGAGGCAAGAGGCAGCGCAGAGGCGGAATTCTGTTCGCGTCGTGCTATCTACCGGCCTCGGTTCGAACTCGGATTATTATTATCGGTCGGTGAAGCCGCTTTCCCGGACCGCACTCTGTTTATAGAGTTGCCGGTGAGGGCCTCCTCTTATATAAATATTTAAGAAAGCAACGCGCGCTCCTGGGAGGGAAACCGCTATATTTTCTGACCGCGGGTCCGTCGGCTCATCCGATTGGAAGTACGAGTAATCCACTCGTACGAGCCCTCCGACCGATGCTCTCTGGACGTTCTTCTCGAAACGTGACGGCCTGGAAACCTGTTGAAGGACAGGTTGTTCTCACGCATACGTCTAACGTCTAGTACCACCCAGGCTCCACAATGATGCCTACGACATCTTCATGAGAAAGGGGCTCTTCCGCATGGCATCTCGTTTGTGTTGGAACTAGTATGCGTCTGTTTCTGCTTTTTTTTCGGAATGCGAGCGCGGGAGTTGCGTATATTCGCCGTCGGCAACCTCAGAGTCAGTTTTCAGGCGTCGTACCCTCCAGGAGAATAATACTATACAAAGTCCAAAGGCCTCGAATGATGGTCAGCCTAAACGGTGCTACGACCGTTGGAACGGACACTTAACAAAGGCCACAAGGGCCAACGCCAGGGTACCGTGAGCTTCGAAGCTCAACACCACGAAGTCGTCCGCGTCGACGAAAACGATCGCTAACAGGAGAAGTTCCAGCAGCTTTGCCCTGAATCAAGACACAATGTCGAGCGTCCGTTCATTCACTCATCAAGCGGTCGTCTATTCATTCGTTTGTTCACCTCCCCGGCGGCTAAGAGCTCGAGAAAACAGCCTCTCATGGCTCCGGGGCTAAGGGTTTTCGTCGTTTTGCGTTCTTCGCGTGTTCCTCCATTTCGATTATCAACGAAGAATCAATACTGACTGGGTGAATCAATAGGTACGAGGCGCTCCCTTCGAAATCGTTCCGATCACGTTGGGGCCGAGAAAAAGTGGGCGACGAATTGTTTCAGAAACTGCCGGACTTGGACAAGGAGGTCACGAAAACTAATCATGTATTAAATGTCTCGGCGTAAATTTTCACAAATCGTGGACCGCTATGAGAATTCAACGACGGCGTTGCCCCGATAAGGTTCGATGTTTCTCCGTCGCTCGTTCGAGATCTCGCTCGTTTGCTGCCCGTCTAAATGTTCCCTTTGTGGCGTGATCAGACATCCTGCGTAAACTCGATATGGCTGCGCCGTACGTCTTTTCCGATCGCGTCAATGTTATCTCTTTATACACCCTACATGGAGGATGCATCTTCTGGACAGAATAGTATCGGGACGCATTGTCATTCTGTTGTTCTGGATGTTCCGTATCACCAGTGACTAGTTTAGAAGTCACTTACGTTGATCGTACGGCCGTGTTGTCTCGTTCAGCGTCTCGCTTTCTCTGTTTTCTCGTACGATCCCTCTGCAACCAATGGACTGAGCCGACGACCGCTATCGGTCAAGCCACAAAATTTATGGCGCGGTCCCGCTTTTAACCAGAGGCTTAGCTTTCTGTATCAGCAGCAGAAGTGTCTTTTTTGCGACCTGCTCCTCGGCTGTGCGGCTCAGCTCTCTCACTCGGCTCGGATCAGCGCGGCCAGCTCAGATCAGCTCCACCACTCAGGGTACCCCACCATCTTCAGCGGCACCACCAGAGCCAGCGTCGTCGTCGTCAGCAGCAGCAGCAGCAGCAACAATAGCGAAAGCACTTTCAGCGGGGACGACGGCGACGAAGAAGAACGGCGGCGGCAGCAGCAGCAACAGCAGAAGTCCGTCCACAACAAGATGGCTGAAGAGGCGCCCCGCACGCGGACTTCTTTCTTCTTCTTCGTTCTTTTCACTCTCTGGGCTCCTTGTTGTCGTTGTTCGGGAGGTAGCTTTCGAAGAGCTCGAGGTATGCAGCCGCCTTTCGCTCAGGTTGAGAGGCATTTCAGGCGCTGCTGGTCAGCTCGTCCGAAGGTGGACGCCTCTGTGAGAGGGCAATACTCCGATCTGAGGTATTGGGAACTCTGAAAAATAAACCTCACGAGTAAACTCCGAGCTTTCTCTCCCTGTCCATTGTCGCCCTGTACTCGCGAAAATTCCTGAAGGAATTTTGGTTTCGAGAGCCTAGCGTTGAATTGGCTGAACGAGTGACACTCCCCCTCCCTCGGAGTTCTAGATTACAGATTACGTTGGAAAAATCATGCATATATCCGGCAGCCGCATATGAGAAATCTATGAGGCTGAAGTTCCGCGTGAACGTCTCCGTGACAGACGAAGGGTCCGAGTGGGAGCGCGTGGTGTGATCGTGATGAGCTACTCTATCTTAGAGTCCGGGTCCGATTGATTCCGTTCGGCTACATAGATAGGGTATCCATAGCCGAAGTCGCAGTATTTTTTCCGGCGGCTTCTGATTGAGTGGTACCGAGAACAACATTTATTCGAGTATCCCCCGCTTCGATCAGCTGGAACGATCCCTTATGCGTGACTATTTCTCCTATGGATATTTTCTGCAAAGCAATACATATGTGTGTCGCAGAGCAATGACTGAACTTAACAGATGTCAAATGCAAGCGGAACGCGGAACCGCGCTCCCACCTCAACGTAAGCAAAGTACTTTTCTGTGGCTGACCGCATGGTGGAGTGCTGTACAAGGCGATTGGACGTGAACGGAAATTATTCTGGAAAGTGTAACGCGGCATCGGGTTGATCGGCGGTACTCACTCGTGCCGATCGAGGCCTTCGCTTGTTCCGACAAACGGTTATTCGTCAAAGAGGGGAGGAGTTGTTCTTCTACTCCTTCCATTGTCCTGACTGACTGACTGGTTGGCCGACTTGCCTGCTGGAGTGCTTTCTCGATCGCTCGCGGGTCTGACTGGCTTCGGCTGCATCCTACGGCCACGAACAACTATGTTGGGTGAGAACCCCGCAAGATAACTCTTCCGCACCACCGAACAACGAAGGATGCGCTATCAAATGTAATCGAAGATGTTTCATTCACGGTCATCGCGCGTTATCTACGTGTACCGAGAAAGGACGAATCCCTCGAGGGTTTCCCGAGTCCGCCGAACACCGCTCACTGAGGAAGCAGGCCTGTCGGGTTGCCGTTCGTGGGGGACAGTGGACCTTGTGGTCTCCGAGGGAAGATCAAAATACGATGAAAGCAAGGGGAGTCGAACAAGCTCGAAACGCTCGAGGAGCATCCAATTCATCGACGGTCATGGCTCCTAATGGGGTCATTTAGGCTCCACCCACTCATCACTGCATTTTGCAGTTGAAGCCATGAACGCTCAAGTGGTGCTGATGCGGTATGTCTTTCAGAGCTC